GACCTGGGCTGCAGTCAGGAGGTCTTCAGGACTGGAACCCAGAGATGCTGGAGTTGAGGCAGGGTGGCAGCCCCAGGACAGAGGTCTTTCTGGTGGTGCATGCCCCACGGGGGCACACATCAGGTATACACGCTGCTGCTCTAGTCAGAATGTGAGGTAACAGAGCAGAGGCCAACACTGGATCCCCACCAGGCTCTGCCACCAAGAAGTCATGTGGGACTGAAGCTTGCTCAGGCTTTGGCACATAGGAGGAACCAGGTCTCACCCAGGGCTGCTGCCTTCAGCTCGAGCCAGTGTAGTGGGCAGCATGTGGACAGGTGAGAGGACAGCACAGGTGGCGGGACAGGTTGGCATACAGCCCAGCCACCACAACAGGCAGTACGTTGATAAATCGCTAGGTTAACAGCTTGATGCAGGAAATGCCAGAACTGGGAGATCCAGAGTGAAACTCCCCAGGAATCAGGGACTTCAGAACCATGTCCACCTCCTCCCATCTTCCCAGACTCTCTCAGAAAGTACCCACAATGACAGGGTCCTACTGCAGTACTTACCATCATTTCTAGGTGCTTTGAGAAATCAAAACATGTGCTGCATTGGGAAAGTCCACTGTCAAGAACCTCTCCAAATCACTAAGGAGCAATGATTCCAGTTTAAAGACTAAGGTGCATCCAATTCAGGCCATGATCTTGTCTATCACTTGCTGTGTGTCAGAGAGCTGGATAGTGAATAAAGATGACAGGAGAAGAATCAATGCCTTTGAGCTGAGGTGTTGGAGAAGAGCGCTGAATATCCCATGGACTGTCAAAAGGACAAACAGATCTGTCTCAGAGAAAGTGCAACTGGAGTGTGTTTTAGAAGCAAGGATGGTGAAACTCTTGTCTCACATACTTTGACCATGTTTCTGGGAGGTGCTAGTCTTTCGAAAGGGACATCATGCTTGGAAAGGTGAAGGGTCAGCAAAAGAGAGGCTCCCTCAGTGAGATAGATTGACACAGTGACTGCAGCAATGGGCTCTAGATGTCAGAAGTTAGGACGGCACAGGATAGGACAGGGTTCAGATCTGTTGTTCTTAGGGTTACTGTGAATAATACTTGACTCAATAGCACTTAACAACAATAACGAGGTGTTTGAGTTCCCGGGCAACGGGGACCGGAGCCTTTGTGTAAAGCGCTGCTCTCTGGTCTCCCACGTGCCAATGAAGCCCTCTGCGCTGCTCTGTCCCAGACCCAGCTGCTCAGCTTCTTTATTAAGAAACCAGCCTCACACAAGCCATACTGCCCCTCGGTGGGTAACTGGCCGCTCATCATTTCGACACAGGGAAGAAAAACTTCAACAGATGAAGAGTTCACCGTGAGCAAGTCACTGAATAATCTCCATCACTCATACCTCGTTTTCTCTCACTGGTGTGTGTTCTTATCTCTGCAACTTCCAGGTAGTCAGCAGATGTCATCTGTCCAGAAAGAGGAAGTGGTGCTTTATTTTCCTTGTGGGTGTGAGGAGAGAAAGGAGTTTCCTTAGAGATTGTCAGCATTACGTTGGCAGCAGAGGAGCGTGCACTGGCAGTCCCTGGGTGAAGAGCCAGGGCCTACCTACATTGTATCTTTATCTGGGGCCTTGGCAGGGTCTTGTGGTCATATTGGGGCCAAATCCACCCTTTAATGCCCCCAGCATACTAGCACTGATGCATGACCTTTAATGGCAATGCTGCCCCTAGCTGTCCCTCCCTGGTCGTTTTTAAGGCCCACTGGCCTTAAAAGCTTGTGCAAGCTCCGGCCTTCTCATGCTCAGAACAAAGGGTAAGTTTTGCTTTCAGGCTTAAGGGAGCTTTTTGGAGAAGAGATATTTCCTCCATGACCAAATTAAAGAATCCCAGGCCTTGTCAGTTGGAGAGCGCCTAGGTTTCTGCCTGTGTAAGAAGTGCCATGCGGGAACAGGGTCCATTCACTCTGTTCAGTGCTCTGCCCTCAGGTGGGAGCATTGAGCTGCGGAGAGCATGTTTTTGTCGCTCACTGCTGTCAAGTCAGAACCGACTCCTAGCTGACCCGCCACTGGGTTTCCACACAGGAGGAGACTGCCCATCTTTCTCCCTTGGAGCTGCTAATGGATCCAAACCAGACAGTCGCCTCTTGTAAAGAAGTATGGCCTCAGAAACCTGATGGGGGGCTGCCTGAGTTGGAACCCACCCCACAGCAGTGGGGATGGTTTGGGGGTGGGTACAAAGCACTGGGGGTGGATGGACTTTATGTCTTTTTCTTATACTGATATGGTCTCCTAGTAACATCTTCAAAGACACTACATCCAGCCAAGGTCACTTTCACAGTTACTAGAGGTTAGATGGAAGGCTGGTGAGACTCCCTCTGACATGCTTCAGACGCGTTATCAGGAGAGACAGTGAGAGAGGGAGACCATCAAGGAGCTAGGTTGACACAATGACATAAAAAAAAATGGGCTGAAGTACAGCAGAGATTGTGCAGATGGTACAGGATGGGGCAGGGCTTCGTTCTGTTAGACATCACAGAGAGCAGCTTGACAACACCTAAGAATAGGAAGGAGCCCGTTCAATGGCAGAGAGTGAGTTAGGTTGAAGAACAGCAGGGGCTGGGATTTCTACATATTGGGGATGGGGACACAATTCAAAATCTAACACTGCCTGAGGCGTGGCATCCAGGGCTCCATGAGACAGTTCTCCCTTGTCCAGCTGGCAGTCTTCATTCAGCCCATAACCCTTGCCACCCAAGACTGAAGGATGCGGCTGGCAGGCGACCACAGCCTTAGGGGCCTGGACTTCCTCTCCCAGCCCTACCAGCTGCCTGGGTGCCTTTTACAAGTTGCTTCTTGGTCCCACTTTCCCCGAATCTGGCATGACTTATTTGCTCCGGAAAAGGAGTATAAATAAGCACCATCGCCCCTTGACAAGTTGACAGGATTGACAGGCTGTGCGAATTCCAGAATCTGAGAGTCTGAGGAGGAGAGGTGATTTAGCAGAGCCAGCTGCCGTCACCAGAAGAAAATAATTAAGGAAACCCAACAGTGTAAAGGACGAGCGAGCAGTGGAGCGGGTCCCTTCTAGTGAAGGGACCTGTAATCATTGGCTGCAGGAGAAAACCCCCTCCACCAGAGAGAAATGAGCTCAGGCAGGCGTGCTGCGAACACAGAGCAGTGAAAATGTGATTAGGAGGAGCGACAGGCTGGGCAGGAAGGAAGCAAGCTGTGGGCTTGAGAAGGATCCTGAGGGGCGTGGCCAGTTTTGCTGAGAGACTGTGGGGTGGTCTGTGAGGCCTGTTGCAAAGCTCCCCTATAGGCACAAACAGGGAGATTTGGTGACTTAGAAGTAAAGAGTTACGTTACCAAACCAAAGGCACACAGTTCGAATCCACCAGCTGCTCCCTGGGAGAAACATGAGCAGTCTCCTTCCATGCTGTTTACTGCCTCTGAAAATCCGCTGGAGGGTCAGCTATGAATCTGTTCGTACTCAACAATACATGATAATAATATGCACAAAAATGTGTGCATAAGCCTGAGACTTCCCCGGGAAAATCTGGACACAACCCTGTCCCCAGGATCAAAAAATGACACTGGAGCCAAAGATGCGCTGTGCTCCTGAGTCAGTGGATGCTAGGTTGCCCAAGTGTCTCTGTATTTCAGCTTCTCTTGCTCGTTGCATTGAGACAGAACCGACACTCTTTGAGTCTCTGAGACTGTTAACCACACAGGAGGAGACTGCTCACTGCTCGTCTTTCTCCCTCACAGAGGCTAGTGGATTTGAACTGCTGAGAAGTGCAGTCACTGGGTTAGCAGTGCAATGCCCTTCCTATGCTCTAGACCACCTGAACTCCTGCCATGTCTCTTGGGACTCAATAGAGTCATAGCAAACCCAGGAAATGCAGGCTTACTGCCCAGGGATGGCCTCCTGTCTCCTCCAGTGTGAACACATCCTCTGGAGGAGGCTGCTGCTCTCAGAGGCCAAACTTCATCTCGCCTCAGGGAGGTGGATGGAGCCAGGTTCAGCCATGGGGAAACTGGATGTACTAGTACTGGCTGAACACTAGCCCTGCCTCAGTCTCCTCTGCCGGCAGCAGTTCCTGGGTCTCCCCTGGGCCCCCAACAACAGCATAGGACATGCTGGTCCTGGTAAAATCAAACATGGTGCCCTGTTGGACCAGGCGGAAGTTCTAGCTCTGCTCGTTTAAGAGGTGGTAGCTCTTGACAAAGTTTCAGAGCAGAAATGCCCCCAGATCACAGAAGATGGGGATCCCTGACACTCTTCAATACATTCACCTCAACCTACACCAAACATAGGATGCTCTTTGGATCCTCTTTGACTCAAAGGTTTGCTTGCCGTGAGTTTGTCATTCTGGGTGGCCCTGCCCCACCCAGATAGAGGGCCTTGTTGGTTGGAACCTTCTAGAATGTGGTCTGTCACGGGGTTTTCTCCGTCTTCACTTACAGACACAATCAGCCAAGAAGTGCTTGCTGGACAATCACTGGTGCCCTCTGGAGGCTGAGCAGAGAGCACCCCAGCTCATGCCCCAAAGCAGGCTGAGAAGGCCAAACTACTGGATTTAATGCCAGAGTAGGGGGCTTCCTGGAGCACGGGGGAGAGACCTGTGCTCTGTCCCTCCGGTTGGTGCATGAGGAAGTACAGGTGTGAGGCTGGCATTGGTGGTGCAGTGTCCACGTGGATGAGAACGGGATGTGACTGAGGAGAGAATGGAGAGATGACAAGAGTTTGGGAAAATCCCAACAACATGGGAATGGGACTGCTCCACTGGGCTGCGGGTGGCGCATCTGGCCTCCGCTTCAGGAGGTGCGACACTGAGAAGGCATGCAGAGCCCAGAGCCAGTGGTGCCAACCATTAGCCCCAATCTGTTCCTGTGTGGAGTGGGTGAAGGGGGGAACAAGCAGGCTCCCTCCAGACTGGACGCCCACAGGCAGGCCAGTAAGGTCTAGGAAGCCCTGGGGTTCCTTTTCTGCTAACACTGTCCTGTTTGTTTTGCAGGAATGAAGTTCAACGCCAGGCTGCAGCAGCCTCACAAAGTAAGTCCTGAGAATCAGGGAAATCTCAGCGCACAGCTGAGGGAGGGAAGGGCGCAAACATAAAGCTCAGGGTGCAGTCGTTCTTGGAAAGAAAAATGTGTCTAGCCTGTCCCAGGAGCCCGAAGAGCAAGCTCGGGGCTTTAGACCTATGAATTTACCTTGCCTGTTAGATGGCTGCTCTGGGTCGTGCTAATAGATGCAGTAAATCTGAGCCAGCCCCTCTGCAGGCTCATGGCCCCAGCGCCCACCCTCACCCGGCCGAGGTTCCTGGGAGGCCTGCGCCACCTGGTGGCCGAGAGGACACTTGCACCTCAGGCCTCACGGCTGACAGGATGGGGCCCAGACTGCTGGGGACAGCCAGGCTGAGCTATCTGGCTAATGATGAGGGCTTGGGGACTAGGGGAGCGACAGGCCAAGGCTCCATGTTGAGAGGTACATGTTTCAGGCCTCGCCGGTCTCCCAGAGGGAGGAACTCGGGCCTCTGCGGAGGCAGGGACCTTGGTCATGGTAAGGGTGGCCTGGGTGGCCTTGACCCGGCTGACCTGTCCACTCCGGAAACCATTTCTCTTCTTGTCCTAGGACTTCCCACCACGAGGTTCCCAGGATGGTGACTCGAAAGTACCCACAGAGAGGGGCGCCCGAGACTGGTCGAGTCCTGTCCCCGGGGGCCTTGACTTGCAGCGGGACAGCCTGGAGCCCCCGATGCGTGACCAGCCGGGCCCCTACCCCAAAGCGGGATCGCGGCTCCGGCAACGGCGGAGACGGCTGCTAATCAAGAGAATGCCAGCCGCAGCTCCCGTCCCTGCCAACAGCTCGGCCAGCACCCGCGTCCCAAGCGGCCACTGGGCCATCCTGCAACAGCGCCAGCAAGAGCGCAAGAGGGTGATGAGGGAGGCGTGCGCCAAGTACCGCGCGAGCAGCAGCCGCAGGGCGGTGACACCGCGCCACGTGTCCCGCATCTTCGTGGAGGACCGCCACCGCGTGCTCTACTGCGAGGTGCCCAAGGCCGGCTGCTCCAACTGGAAGCGCGTGCTCATGGTGCTGGCCGGACTGGCGTCCTCCACCGCGGACATCCAGCACAACACCGTGCACTACGGCAGCGCGCTCAAGCGCCTGGACACCTTCGACCGCCAGGGCATCCTGCACCGCCTCAGCACCTACACCAAGATGCTGTTCGTCCGCGAGCCCTTTGAGCGCCTTGTTTCTGCCTTCCGCGACAAGTTCGAGCACCCCAACAGCTACTACCACCCGGTGTTTGGCAAAGCGATCCTGGCCCGGTACCGAGCCAACGCGTCGCGGGAGGCTCTGCGGACGGGCTCCGGCGTGCGCTTCCCTGAGTTTGTCCAATACCTGCTGGACGTGCACCGGCCGGTGGGCATGGACATCCACTGGGACCACGTCAGCCGCCTGTGCAGCCCCTGCCTCATCGACTATGACTTTGTAGGCAAGTTTGAAAGCATGGAGGACGACGCCAACTTCTTCCTGAGCCTGATCCGCGCCCCGCGAAACCTGACTTTCCCGCGCTTCAAGGACCGGCACGCACAGGAGGCACGCACCACGGCGCGCATCACGCACCAGTACTTCGCGCAGCTTTCTGCCCTGCAGCGCCAGCGCGCCTACGACTTCTACTACATGGACTACCTGATGTTCAACTACTCCAAACCCTTCGCAGACCTGTACTGAGCGCTGCCTGCTCCGCTCTCACCGGGGACCCTGCTGCAGGAGCGGAACCAGGGGGCTCTGAGGGCGCGAGGATACACAGGGTGGTCAAAATACCAGGGAAGCTAGATACCCAAGGACTAGGGCCCCAGCGGGAGTAGTGGCCTGCACTCCCCAAACCGTTGCCTTGTATCAAACCGATTGGTTTGTGCATTTATTATTATTATTATTTATTTTTTTTTATTTTTTTTTTTTACAGCCCGGGGTGGGGGGTAGTTGCCTTGGGATACGGTTCCAAATAAAACCTATGGTTTCCAGAAGGACTGCCTCTTCACTCTGTGTGAAACCTGACCCTATCCTGGACCTTCTGGATCTGTCCCCTCCCCAAGTCCCAGGGCCGCACTGTGGAGAAGTTGGGATAGGTGGGCTTTTGTAAGAGGTGGGCAGACCAGCAATAGGCCCTCCTCATCCTCATCTGAACCCCCCTGTTTCAGTCATTCATTGCCATCAAATTGGAACTGACTCATAGTTGATCCCCCAGGTTGTTTTCAAGACTATAAATGTTGTGAAAGACTGCCCATCTTTACCCTTCAAAGAAGCTGGTGGATTCAGGCTCCTGGCCTTCAGGTTGGCAGCACAACTCTTTACTTACTAAGCCATCAGTTGTTGTTGTTGTGTGCCGTCGAGTCACTTGCGACTGACTCATAGCGACCCTATGTACAACAGCCCTAAACCCTGCTCTGTCCTGTGCCAATCACACTGCCTCTGACACACTCATCCCGATTACCCCAGTCACTGAATCAACCCACCTCCTAGAGGGTCTTCCCCTCTTGCGCCGTCCCTCCACCCACCAAGTATGATGTCCCTCTCCAAGGACTGGTCCCTCCTTACAACGTGTCCAAAGTATGTCAGACAAAGTCCCAGAATCCTTGCCTCCAAAGAGAAGCCTGCTTTAATACTCTCCAGGGTGAATCTGTTTGTTTTCTTGGCAGTCCATGGTACGTTCAGTATTCTTCTCCAGCACCACAGCTCAAAGGCATCAATTGTCCTCCTATCCTCCCTAGTCAGTGTCCAGCTCTCTGATGCATAGCAATTGATTGCAAAGACCATAGCCTGTATCAGACGCCTTAATCTCCAGAGTGACACCATTGCTTTTCAGTACCCTGGAGAGGTCCCTAACAGCAGACTTTCCCATCGTAATGCGTTTTTTGATTCCTGGCTACTGGTGCCAAGAGTGTTGACCATGGAGCCAAGCAGACTAAAGTTGTTAACAATCTCAGTCTCTTCACCATCCATCCTGATGCTGCCAGTGGTGAGAATCTTTGTCTTCTTGACATTGAGCCTCAATCCATATTGGAGGCTGCAGTCCTTGATCCTCTGCAGCAAGTACTTCAGGTCCTCTTCAGTTTCAGCAAGCAGGGTTGTGTCATCTGCATAACGCAGATTATTGATAGATCTTCCACCAATCCTGACACCACACTTCTCCTCATAGAGCCCAGCCTCCCAGATAATCTGTTCTGCATACAGGTTGAAAAGATATGGAGACAGGACACATCCGTGGCGTACGCCCTTCCCAGTTTTGAACCATGCAGTGTTTCCTTGCTCTGTTCTGACGACTGCCTCTTGGTCCAAGTATAGGTTCCTCATTAGAATGATCAGAGCTCCCTCAAAAGAGAGATAGATAGGTGCCCTGTGAGGTCCCTTCTGGTCAGTGTGACCTTCCCCTAAGAACTTCCTGAGGGCTCTTTGGTGGCCTAGTGGTAAGGAGCTACGTCACTAACATGAAGGCATGGGCTTCAAATCCAGAAGCTGCTCTGGGAGAGAAAGATTGGCAATCTCCTCCCACGCGGTTTACTGCCTCTGAATATTTGCAGAAGGTTCAGCTGCGTCACTTCTGACTCAATGGCACATAACAACAACAACAACAATAATAATAACAGTGACAAGGGCCTCCTGAGTAGTGGAGAGTTTACCAGGCAAGCCAGCAATTAGAGCTCCCACTGGAGTCAGTGAGAGACCACCAGGAGTCTGGCTTCCAAGGCAGGGAATGATGGTGATCCAGGGTTTCTCAGCTGCCTGGCCTCAAGTCATCATGCACACCCCTAGACTTCAGTCCCTGGCTCCATCCCAGCACACGAAACTGTGGAGGAGCTTTTTTCCCCAAAAGCATACACACATTTTCACCTCCAGAAAGGATTGTTGTTTGATGTCAAGTTGAAACTAACTCATAGCTGACCCTCCAGTGGGTTTCAGAGGCTGTAAATCACAAAAGATTGTTCGCCTTTCCTCCTTGTACAACCGGTGGAATCAAAATGCTTGCCTTTGGGTTGGCAGCACCATTCTTTACCAGAGTTCAGAAATGATTGATTGAGGTCTCAAAGCCAGGGATGATCCTAGAAAGATCTAGGAAGGGCCGTATAAGGTGGGTGGCTACATGCATGACTGGAATGGCTGCTCATTTCTGGGGGTCTGTGTGTCCATCTGTCTGCCTGAAGCCTGCTGCACATATTTCTGAGTCAGTCAGTCCCTGGGCTTGTGCCAGGAGGTGGTCTTGTCTATTTCTGTCAGGTGGTGTTGCTGGGGCTGGATGAGCTGCTCCACCCCAGCCTGCCTCTACTTCAGGCAAAGAGGGAACAAGAGGCTCAGGCCACCCCTGCCTGCCTGGAGCCACATGCATCCAGGAATCCTGAGTAGAGGTGACACTCTCCTCGGGGTTCCTGGACAGTGGCAGGGACCAGCGACAGATGGAACAAGGAACACAGAGATGGGGGAGGCACTGACGGGTAGAGAGAGCCGCAGAGGCTGGCTGCCTTGGGCACTGTTCTCTCAAAGTGAGCCTGGGTCCACAGCAAGATGTGTCTCTGCTCTGAGCCTGAGGCAATGTCGCAGTGTCATCTGCTCAGCAAAGGGGCCACCTGGGAGCCCAGCTGGGGCAGCCTGCAGGGCAGCTCTCAATGCTGCCACTGCTGCTGTTTGGAGACAATCAGGACTGCCCGGAGGAGCGCGTTCTCTGAGTGTGTGTGTGACATGAGTATGTGAGAGTGTGTGTGTGTGTGTGTGTGACATGAGTGTGTGACACGTGTGTGTGATGCATGTGTGTGAGACGTATGTGTAAGTGTGTGTGACGAATGTGTGTGATGTATGAGTGTGCGACCTGTGTGTGTGTGAGTATGTGTGTGTGAGAGACGTATGTGTGTGTGACATGAGTGTGTGTGTGAAAGTGTATATGCGAGTATAAGAGAAAGGAAATGAGTTGATGTGAGGGAGTGTGTGTATGTGGGAGTGTGTTTTTGTAAAAGTGTATGAGTGTGTGCACATGGAGAGTGTGTGCAGCTATTGATTACTGTGCACGAGTGCATGTATGAGTGAATATGTGCATGTGTGAGGGTGTTAGTGTGTGAGAGTAGGAAGGTGTGTGAGTGTGAAAGCGCGTGTGTGCGAATCTGTGAACATGGGTTGTGAGAGCAAGTGTGTGTGAGAATGTACGTACGCATGTGTGACATGACAGCAAGGGTGAATACGTGTGTGGGAATATGTGAGTGTGCATGTGTGATCTGAGTGCACGTATATGTGTGGATACATGTGCATGTGCACTTGAGTGTGTATGTGGTGTTAGAAGAGGAGATAGGAAAAGGTACCTCAACTTGTGTCACCTCTTCAGGGTCGGCCGCCTGAACTGGAAGGTCCTTGAGGGTGGGCACATGTACATAACACACCCAGCAAACAGAGGTTTCCCTTTTGGGTGGCAATGGTAGAGGGCAAGGCCCGTGCAAGGCCTGGAGAGTTTACTTGCGCCCAGGGCTGCGTCGAAGTGTGGGAAGTCCCCCCTCCTCTTGCTGTCTCGGTTACAGTCTGGTGAAGGTGGGCAGGAGGGAGGTAGGCTGGCCTGAGTTCTTGGCCCCAGGCTCAAGTGTGAACGGTGGAGTAGGTCAGCATGTCTGCACACCTTTCTTGGGTAGCACTTCAGTAGAACCCATGACACTTTTGTTTCAACAAGGCGAGTATTCTGGGTTGCTGGATGGCAACGTATCTGAATGAAGTGAACTCGGGTGACAGTCCGTAGGGAGATGTGCTGGTAACCCGAAGACATCTCTGGTGGTTCAAATCCATCAGCCACTCTTCAGGAGAAAGATGAGCAGTGTCCTCCCATGCAAGTGGCAACCTTTGAAGATTCAGTGAAAGGCCAGCTCTGAGTAGGTTCTGACTTAATATCAGCGAGTCTGGTGGTGGTGATGACTTTCACCGTCACAGAGTTTGCAGGTCTGGCTACATATGAGTCCACTGAGGTTGGGGATGGGATGCCTAGTGTAAAGGTACCTTCACTCCTGTCTCCACATCCACTTAGCAGTCCCTCCCTAATCCGTGGTGTCAGGACAGACCACTCAGGGAGAGCCTTCCAGATATAAACACTCATCAGACTCCAGCATGCCCTCCAACTACAGGCAGTGGCTCCCAAAATCCCCTCCAGCTCCACCCTAACCCCAAGCCTCATGTAGTCCTAGTGCCTAGAGAGGTGATGGTAGATGGAACTGCTGACACAGGAGTGTGTGCATGTGTGTTTGTGCAAGTGTTGTTGTGGGAGTGGTGGGTAACGGCATATACATATGTGTTTGAAGTCTTTATTTGTGTTTCTGGGGAGTGCCTCTGTGTATGTGTACATGTGCGTGAATTTGTCTGTCTGTGCCAGATGTTCTGTTAGAGTTGCACTTGTCACCCAAAAGCCAAACCTCTATGGCAATTTGAATCTTCCAGCCACCCTAAGGCAATGAGTGATTTCCTCCTGTGCAATTTACAGCCTCAGAAACACAATGGAAGATCACCTATGAGTTGATTCTAACTTGAAGGCAATGAGTTGTTAGGCTTTCTTAAAAAATGAGTGTGTGGAGAGGGGTGAGGTGTCAGAGACAGCGTTCAAGCAGGCCACATCGTTACTATGTCAAGTCAGAGGCTCTATGCATTCACCAGAAGGCAGCCTCCCGGATCCTGCACCAGCCTCACAATCCCTCCTGTGCGTGGTGTCAATC